TACAGTATGATGGGGGCTAATTTGGCTACGACAAATCAGGAAAGAGATCTTGGAGTTATCGTGGACAGTTGTCTGAAAACGTCCATACAATGTGCAGCGGTGGTCAAAAAGGCAAATAGGATGCTAGGAATTATTAGGAAAGGGATAGAAAATAAGACCCAGAATATCTTACTGCCCCTGTATAAAACTATGGTACGCCCACATCTTGAATACTGTGTACAGATGTGGTCTCCTCACCTCAAAAAAGATATTTTGGCCTTGGAAAGGGTTCAGAAAAGGGCAACTAAAATGATTAGGGGTTTGGAACGGGTCCCATATGAGGAGAGGTTAAAGCGACTGGGACTTTTCAGTTTAGAAAAAAGGAGACTGAGGGGGGATATGATAGAGGTCTATAAAATGATGAGTGGTGTGGAGAGGGCCGATAAAGAAAAGTTATTTATTAGTTCCCTAAATAGAAGAACTAGAGGTCACCAAAGGCTACGGGGCTAGAAGGACCCTTGGTCTGACCCAGTACGGCCATTCTTATGTTCTTATGAATTGGCGAGAGGCTGCTGGTGCAAGCCCCTGTGCAGCCGGGCTCGTGGCTTTGCGTGGGAAGCCTCACCCCGAACGGGGGCGCTGGCCATTAAAGGGTTGCGGGGGCAGCCGGGCGGGGCTTTGCGTGGGAAGCCTTAGAGGGTTGCGGGGGCAGCCAGGCTGAGATGCACTGAATAGGCTGGATGGTTTTCTGCATTTTCAAATATGTTGATTTCTGTTACAACACAGAATATTAAGGGCACAGTGCTCGCTTTCGGTTATTTTTTATTACTAATATTTTTGCTGAAAAATGATAAACAAAAGAAATTGTATTTTTTAGGTTCCCCTCATACAAATACTGCAGTGCAAGCGCCTCATTGTGAAAGTGCAACTTACAGATGTTAAACTTAGAGCCTACAAATCCACTCAGGCCTATTTCTTATTCAGCCAATCGCTCAGACGAACACGTTTGTTTACATTTAGGGGAGATCCTACTGCCTACTTCTTATTTACAATGTCACCTGGAATCGTAGAACACTAGAACTGGAAGGGACCTCGAGTGGTCATCAAGTCCAGTCCCCTTCCCTCACAGCAGGGCCAAGCACCATTCTAGACCATCCCTGATAGATGCCTATCCAACCTGCTCCTAAATCTCTCCAGAGATGGAAGGAAGAGCAGGCGCTCACATGGCTCTGTTTAGCTGGCTTTGCAAAGATGCAAGATATGCAAAGTATTCACAAGACGCTCCATGCTTCTGCTGCCATCCCAGAGGACATGCTTCCATTCTGAGGAAGCTCATTAAAAAAAGTAATGTTCCTTACATTTGCCACTGAATGTGAGGGAGAATTGTACGTCTCTTGCTCTGTTTTACCCGCGTTCTGCCATATTTCATGCTCTAGCCGTTTTGGGTGATGACCCACGACGTGTTTGTTTTCAGAATGCTTTCGCTGCTGATTTGGCAAAATGCAGAAAAGGCACCACTGTGAGATTTCTAAAGAAAGCTCCAGCACTCGTGCCAAGGGTCAAGAATCTGAAGTGCCTCTCAAAATGTGCAGCGTGCTTTCGGAAAGCAGTTTGATGCGGAAACTACAGAACCCAAAAAAGAAAATTAACTTTCTGCTGGTGGAAAGCTTAAAAGAGCAACAGTTTGATAAGGAAACTACAGAACCCAAAAAAGAAAATTAACTTTCTGCTGGTTGCATCTGACTCAAGTGATGAAAATGAACATGCATCAGTTCATGCTGCTTTGGACCATTACTAAGCAGAATCCGTCATCAGTATGAACCCGTCCTTTGGAATGGTGGTTGAAACATGACAGCGTTATCTCCCACAAATTGTAACTAGACTTGTTTGTCTGAGCAATTGGCTGTACAAGGAGGAGGACTGAGTGGACTTGTAGGTGCTAAAGTTTCACATTGTTTAATTTTTGAAGGCACTTACTTTTTGTACATAATTTTACATTTGTAAGTTGAACTTTCATGATAAAGAGATCGCACTACAGAACTTAGAATCCTAGGGCTGGAAGAGACCTCAGGAGGCATCGAGTCCATCCCCCAACCCAAAGCAGGACCAACGCCAACTAAATCATCCCAGCCAGGGCTGTGTCAAGCCAGGACTTAAAAACCTTTAGGAATGGAGATTCCACCCCTCCCCCCAGGGAACCTGTCCCAGTGCTTCACCGCCATCCTAGGGAAATAGTTGCATTAGGTGATTTTAAAGTTCTATTTCTTTTTTACAGTGCAAATATTTTAATTAAAAAAATAAAATGAAACCTGTACACCTCGTATTGTGTGGCAATTGAAATCAATCTATTTGAAAATGTAGAAAACATCCAAAATATCGTAACAAATGGTATTGTGTTTTTAGCAGTGTGATTAATCACAACTTTAATTATTGTGCCCTGGTGAAGAGCAAGATGATGTTAAGTTGAACTTTGAGTCCAAAAAATCCAGGGCTGAGAGTTTTGCTGCTGCCTAACGGACCAGGTCCTGTAACCAGCCCCGGGTCTCGCTATGGTGACCCTCCTCAGGCCCTTGCACTGTATAATCTGACAGCAGAGTTTCTCCCTCGCTGTAGGCCTCATCCGCACCAGGGCCTTCGGACACCCAGGGAGCCTGCCTTGGTTCCCACGAGCTGCACACTGCAGCTCTGCCCCATGTGCCAAGTAGCTTGCGTGGGCAGGGCAAGTCCTCCTTGTGGTGTACAAGGAGCAACCCCTGGAGCAGCAGAGCTAGATGGAGGGAGGGAGGCTGCCAGGACTTGGAGGCTTGTTGCACGTTTCTCCCTGCAGAATAACCCATGGAAGAGTTCCGCTGTGTTAGCCGGGCTGAGCCCTTGTGCATGCGTGTGTGTGTGTGTGTGCGCGCGGCGCATGCTCTGGGTCCAGGCTGGGACTCTGTTGTGACCGTCTCCTTCTCCCTCCCACAGAGACCTAACTCGCTCCGACTCGGATTCCTCCTTCCTGCACATGAGCGACCAGCGCATCCCTGCTCCCAAGTTCCTGCCCACCAGGCCTCCCCTCAGGCCTGCAGAGGAGGCTGCGTCAGGCCACCTTGCCAGCTACGCCCCGACCTCCAATGAAGGCAGCAAGCACGGCGAGGCCTCCCCCCTGGGGGCTTTGCAGGAGCGGCTGCCCGAGAGCCCGGTGGTGGTGAAGAAGATGATGATGCTGAACCACGGCATGGCGAAGTCGTCCAGCCTCGGGGAGATCAGCCACGTGATGGCGGGCAGGCCGAGCCACTCCGACTCCTCCCGCTCACACAGCCCCAGCTCCACCGAGCCCGACACGCCCTCCCCCGTCTCTGACTCCAGGCCCAACAACGCCAAGAACACCCGCATCCCGCAGCTGGCCCTCAAGAAGAACGCCGGGGAAGAGGACAGCGGCTCCACGGGCGAGGAGACTGACTCCAGCCAGGGCAAGAAAAAGTTCCCCCTAAAGATCTTCAAAAAGCCCAAGAAGTAGAAGGAAGGAAGCCAACTGCCACCGCAATCGCCACCTGCCCGCCCCTTCCAGGAGCCACATGGCTGGGGTGCTTGTGACCTCCCACCCCCCGTCCCGCCCCAGAAACCCAGCGCTGCTCCTGTAAAATATGCAGGGGGAGGAGCTATTTAAGCGTATTTATTTCCTGACTTCTAACCCAGCCAGGCAGCCACCCCTCTCCCTCCCTGCACTCATCGCCCTGCTTCGCTGTGCACGGCTTCTCCTGCCTTCCCCGGGCGCCTGCCTGTTGCGCCGCCGCATGGCTGAGTTGCGGCTTCGGAGTCCGGGGACAGAGCACAGACTCCGGCCCCACAAAGTGGAAGGCAGAAGGTAGGGGAGAGGGAGGAGAGGGGAGGGGAGGGGAAGGAAGAGAAAGGGGAAGGGCTGGGAGAGGAAGGTGCTTGTGCGGAGGCGGAGGGGAAGCGGAAGGCACCGAAGGGACAGGGTAGAGAAGAGACAAATGCCAGGGGGCCAAGTGCAGACAGTGAGGAAAAGGGCAGGAGGGGAGGTGTCAGTGGCAGGGGTGGCAGAAAGCACCGGCCGGCTCCTTGCTTTGGGGCTGGGTGGGGAGCAAGGGCCTGGCTGGGTTTGTTTCTCTTGTGCAAGATCCCCCAGCAGGCCCTGCCCCCCCCGGCCTCTCTCCATCCCAGCCTCTGCAGCAGGAGCTGGGCTTCCTGGGG